GAAAAAAAAAAAAAAAAAGAAAAAAAGATACACAGTCAAAGAAGCCCTTCTTTCTACCCAAGGAACCTTTCTGAAGTTAGGACAGCAATATCTAAACCTAAGTATAACAGGAACAAGACTGACATAGCCATCTTCACAAAAGCCATCAGAAACCAGGACACAAAGCCCCGAGTCTTTGACCACCACAATTTGAACTAAAAGGGCCAAAAGGGTAGCTGTGTTAGCTGACAGCAGTAGAAAGCTGTTACTCTGCATTTGGATCTGCCACTGACAAAGGAAAACAATCATTTCTTACCAGTATATCCTACCTTGTCGTAATGAAAAAAAAGCTACCCTTCTTTGAAGAAAGTTAAAGGGCACCTATTCTTCTATAGACAGATCCAGACAGTGCAAAGCAATTTTCCAACAAAAAAGTCAAGCTTGTATTAAAAAAATATATGTATCTAACCAGTTCTATTTTTTAAGCAAGCTAAGTATTCACTGCATTTAACTATGAACAGATCAGAGAAGAGCCACTTGGCAAACATCCTGAGCCAAAGGAGTTCTGTATGGAGGCTGGTTTGCCAAGCCCATCACTGTGCTGTCCCGCCGTGGATGAGCTGAACCCTGCGAGCAGCTCCGGGAAGTCACTAAAGCTGCTCACACAAACGGCCGCGCTGACGGTCACAAATGCAGGCACAGCTGCTCCCTCCCAGCCTTTGGCTTGGAGCAGGCAGATGGGCTGCACAGTTGTACTGCTCCCTTTTTCTTGCCCACAAGACAGATGCTCCTGGAAGACAATATTCTGGTAATAAACCTATTCCTAACAGGATTCCTGGACGTAAACTGCAACATGGAGCACAAACACCTCCGCAAAACAAGTCCATCAGCACCCCTCCAGCTGCACGTGCTCTGAATGGCTGGCAGCTCCGCTCATTGAGAAAGCCTTTTTGCACAGGGCAGCCAGAGACCCAGTCTCTGATCTGCCTCAATCACCTGAACTCTCTGACTTGGTGCCATATGGAATCCCACGCAGAATGAAGGTGCCCCCAGACCCATCCCAGAGCTATTCAGAACCAAACAAGAGAAAGCTTTGTTCTTTTCTCACACTATTTTCAATATATAGTTTCCACCTTGAAGCCACAGACTTGCCCTGGGAAGGACATCAGTACAACAAGCTCCTAAACATAAGTTTCAACACTTAAGAGCTGACTCTCTGAGACCAGAAAGCACAGAAGTATTTGTTAATGGAGATATTCTCCCATTGCACAAGCTGCCAACAGCTTGTCTATTTTCTTGCGATCTTTTACCCTTTCAATCTCTCTTTCACATTTAGAAATTACCATTAATTCTACTTGTCTATGGCTATTGCATCCTCCAGAATCTTTCCTCAGATCAGTAGTTATGAGGTTATCAACACAAAACCTGAGCAGAAAATTCAACAACATACCCTGAAGGCTTCTCTAGTTAACGATCTTTATTAGGTCTTATGCTGTTTGCTAGTTTAAGTTAATTTTGATAACAAAGGAGCAGCAACAGTGAAAATGCCCTAAACAGACACTCACTGGTAAAGAATGATCTCATCACTTACATAGGCACCCCCGGGTAAAAGCTCTCACACAATGCAATAGTCCACATAATGAATTTATTATAGCCTGTGTCACCTTACCTAAGCAAAGCAACAAGAAAATGAAGCATTTCACCAGTCAGGTGAAGAATTAAAGAGGGGAACAGAGGCTGAAAGAGTAAATCAGTTTTCAGCATAATTCACATCTCAGTAGACATGCCACATGTCTTAAAACTAACGCTGTGGCCTGATCAGTGTGAACAGCTTTTCTAGAGAAAGCCCCATAGACTGCACAGCAACTCACAGCTGAATTCTCCTGGAAATCTGGAGTTTTGTTGGACCACACAGATAACACTCTCCCTTGCTGTAGCTTCCACCACACAAAGACCTCTGCCTGGCACAAACCTGAGCAAAGAGACTTCTGATTCATTACTCTAACCTAACACACCTTCATGCGGTCAGGAAGAGATTTTTCACTTCTTTTCTCCCAATACACAACAATTTACTTACACAAAGTGGAAGCTTCCTGGGGGAACCTGAGAGGAAGCATCCAGCTTGCTTAAATACAGTCCCTCTTGGGTTGTGCTGACACCAGGCCTGGCCCAGGTGCAACCTATATGGGGGAAAGGTTAATCCACACAGCCCAGGAACGTTGTGGTGTCAAACAACCAAGAGCTGGTAATTTGTGACAGTTGGTGCTAACGTGAAGGTTACAGCCTCCCTCCTAATAACCCTGGCTCCATTAGCTTGCTCCCAGCTCTTGGTAACCCCCGGAGCAGGCACATTCTCACAGGCATAAAAGCTTCTTGATGTTGAAATCTCAACACTGATTACACCGAAAATCCAACCAAAGGCAAGTGGTACTGGAGTTTGTTTCCTGACCATCCTCAGCCTGTTTCCAAACTCGCTACACTAACACAGACTGTGGGTCACTGAAATTATTTGCAGATCAAATAACAGAGGCCAGAGGAAGTTGAAGACCGAGCTGAGAGCACTTGTGAACAGAATCCTACAGAAGATGAATAAGAAACAGATAAGAGCTCCAACTCCCCAGAGACTGAGCTGGTAACATGCCATCCCATCACCTGGCATTTTGTGTGAACATTTTAAAAAGCCACTTTTCAGAAAGCCAGAACAATTTATTTCACATAAAAGGCTCCATAATTAGATCCCTAGGACTGAAGCCAGGTGTGTGTGTACTTTAGGTAATTTGCTGAGTTCTATTAGCATTTAAAAAATCAAAGCTAACCTTTGAAGTTAGCATGCCAGCCAGAGGGAGGAAGCCCATCTCTAGCTGTGTCATTTCCATCTCCGCTAAGCAGCAGCACATGGATTTACAGGCTGGGATTGCAGAAGCTGCTGAGGAGAAAAGCCTGTGATGAAACTACTGCACAGAAACAAACATATGGATATCTTTCTCAAAGGTATCTGCTTTTGGGGTACCTGTTTATAAGTGATGTTAGGCAGCAATCAAGATTTGGTCTCATCCAAGTCTCAAGTCTGCCTAGTTTATTATCAGAGAGCTAAGTTGTATTTGTTTCCCCTGGTCATCCCACAGATCCCATACACTCTCACTGCTTTATCCCTTTCCACTCCTCTCTGTCTTTACTACACACAAAATGGAGCGTGATGCACATCCTCACCTTGGCTCTCTTGTTATTATTCTCTATCAACATAACACTCCCACCTGGTGCCAGCTTCCTTCATTCATGTACCCTACTTTCAAAACACACACTTCATTTCTCTGCCAGATTCTTCTTTGCTGTGATGCTTTAAGCAAAACCACTTGCCAACTGTTAAGACTGCTGGATAAAGAGATTGCTGTCCCACACCAGCTGATGCTGCTAGTTTGCTTCCAATCAAAGATAAATTATGTCAGCTGGAGGGAGATTTGTAGAACAGGAAGACAGGAAAATGGGGGAAGGAGATGTAAACACGTAATGTATGCTGTTGCTTGTTCATACGGCACCCAGCAATAGTAAAGCCACAACAGCTTGGTTCAAAACCATCTGAACTCAGAGGAAAGGCTTTCTTTGCCTTTGCTGAGCTTTAGGACAGTCTCTGAATTAAAGCCCCAAGCAGAAATCACCACATATCAGGTGAAATAAGAGAAATGTAAGAGTGTACTGGCTAAACAAGCGAGGAGGGCAAAAGCAGAAACTTGGTGTAATCACTTTAACCGTGCCCAGGCAGTGACTGAAAGGGCCCTGTCTGTGTTCTGCCCACAGCATGTCATGGGTTCTGTAAGGATCAAACGGGGTCATCTTGATTTGCACCCCAGGACCAGTGGAAATTGTACTCATTTATAGTTGAAATTTGCCACTCACACAGGAGAGAAGGTAAAAGTTTTACTGAAAGTTAATAAGAAACCGCTGCAGAGCTCTGAGGCAAAATAAGAGAAAGTTTCATACAAACAGGCTGCCTGTTACACTCACTAAATCGGTAATTCAGCCACTTGTATCTGTGCAGCATATATCCTACAAAATCTCTTTCTTTGAGCAAGGCGTCTGGGCTTCCTGGAAAGAAGATTTGTTCCACAGGGATTTCACACTCCAGCCCAAGCTGTGGGGGACAGGACACACCATCATTTATGGGAAAGATGGGATATGCGAGGAGGAGTGATCCGCTGCCGCAGCTGAGGCATGGCTGGAGAGCAAGCAGTCTTTATAGCGAAGTGGTCAGCTATGCCAAGGCTCAAGGCAGTCTTAGGCCACTCAAAACTTAGTGCCTCTTAGCTATAGAGAGAAGGGTCTGCCAACAATGCTAAAGGAAGGCAAGAACCATCATCACATGAACTCGCAAGCAAGGAAAATCTCCTGAATTGAAATCTGAGGACATGGTCTATTCACATAGCACAAAAAAATACATACAGAGAAGAAAAAGCTGTTGGGAGCTGCTGCAGACAGAGGAGAATTTCCAGTTCCCCCCACTTCTCTCCCCCATGGAGGAGAAATGATCCATCCCTCATCCCCTTGGAGGGGAAATCAACCCCCTGCTTGGGCCAGCTCACAGCTCCTGCGTGCCTGCAGGTGTGAGGCAGAGCAAACAGGCAGAAAGTGCAAGGTCCTTTCACTGCTTCAACTCCTCCCTAACAGTGATGGAGAGTGGAGGGGGAGGCAATCACTGGGAAAATGAGTGCTGCCAGGAGGGGAGGAGATGACTTGGGGCAGCTCTCTTCCTCTGGAGGATTTGCTGCGCTCAGAGGACCCCCCTCTCCTGAAGGGTCACCTGTGGGGCCAGTTGTAACCAGTTCCCTTATCGAAGCTGGTGGGCAGAGTGTGGCACTCCGGCTCCTGCGGGGATCTGGCAGGAGGCAGCTGAGCTCCCTCCGGGCAGAGAGTGGGGATATAAGGAGAGGCATCCATGGGCAAAGCAGCGACACGGTGCCGAGCTGGGTTGGGATAGGACAGGACAGGACAGGACAGGACAGGACAGGACAGGACAGGACAGGACAGGACAGGACAGGACAGGACAGGACAGGACAGGACAGGACAGGACAGGACAGGACAGGACAGGACAGGATAGGATAGGATGCAGCTCCCGGGTCTGTGCTGCGGGGCCTCGCTGCTGCTGCTTGTCCTGCCGTGGGCAGCCCCGCAGCCGGCGGGCGGCGAGCACGGTGCGGAGCTGCGGTCCCTGCAGGTACCGGGGCCGGGGAGGGCCGGGGCTCCCGGGGCGGCCACCGCACCCGTCCCGCCGGGCAGGAGCGGGGCTCCCTGTGCCCTGGCCGCGGCCGCCGGTCCTCCCCTCTCCTTCCCTCTCCAGGACCTGCTGGAGGCGCTGGGGCAGCTCCGGGAGGAGGAAGGGGAACCGGGCCTGGCAGACGAGCCGGTGACCGAGGACGACGGCCCCGAGTGGGACCTGCCGGGGGCGGAGCGCGGCCCGCACGGCCCGGGCCCCGCGCCCAGCGCTCTCCCGCCGGCGGAGGGGCAGGACCAGTGGAGGAGCCTCCTCTCCTCCTACAGACGGAGGCGCTTCTCCGGCTGCTTTGGGATGAGGATGGAGAGGATCGGCGCGCAGACGGGGCTGGGATGCAGCCAGCACAAAGCCCGTAGGTGCCGGGTGGGAGCCCGCGGCGCCGGGAGGCGGGGGAGGCCGGAGGAGCGGCCGAGGCAGCCGCGGGGTGCGGCCGCTGTGTCCCCGGCTGAAAGCCCCGGAGCGGCTCCCCGGCAGCTCTCTGCCCTTCTCTCCCAGGTTTCTGGAGAAGAGGGAGAAGCTGAAGCCGGGACCGGCTCCCAAGCGCCTCCTGAGCCTCCAGGCCGGCGTCCAGCAGCAGCCAGGCAGGGTCCCCCCGGAGCCCCCGCGGGGGTGGGGTGTGCACCAATAAACTTTTGTACAAAGCCTCCATTGCCTTTTGTGAGTGGTGTTTTGTTGTTTTGTTTTGGTTTTTTTTTTTTTTTTTTGTCACGGCGTAGCACATGGCCCGAGGACACAGAAATCCCCTCCAGAGCACTCCTCTCCCTCTGCCCCGGGGTCTCAGACCCCACCCCGGCCAGAGCATCCCACCAGGTCCAGACAAGCCTCTGCCGGAGGGTCGCAGCGGCAGGAAGGATGGTGGGTGCATCTTTCCATGACAATGATCAGTCCGGTGACCCTCCCCGCCGCGCTGCAGAGGCACTGCCTGGCACCGATGCCAGCCCCGGGACCGTGGCATCGAGCTGGGACGCCTTTCCCGACGCTGTGAATCCTCCCGGGAGGAGGGCACCGGCCTTGGGGTTAATTCCAGGTGGCGTGTGTCCGACACGGGCTAAGCCGCTGGTACCGGTGCCAAGCTGGGCAGGGTGGCATTAAGGACAGAAGGGCTCCGTGGCTTTAAAAATACCGTTGGCAGCGGCTGGGCTGCGGGCGGAGGCCGAGAGACCTTCAGCGGACGGGCGGCTCTGCCTCGGGCTCACGGCGCTCAGCGAAGCCCCCCCCGGTTCTTCTGCCCGAGTTCCGCGCAAAGCGCTCTCCAGCCGCGGCCGCGGAGGAACCGAGCGCTGCCGGCGCGGAGCCCGCGGAGACCGGCGGAGGAAGGGGCTGCCCCACGGCAGAGAGAACAAACACACCCCGACCGGCGACAGGCACAAGCCACCTTTGGGGTGAAAATAAGTTTCCTCCCCCACGGAAAAAGCGAGGCACCACTTAACTGTCTTAATTGCAGCATGGCCTGTGCTGTGATCTCTGTGCTGCTGCGTGCCCCGCACCAGGCATTATTACATTTCCCTTCTCTTTCCTGCACCGATGGCCTCATCTCTTCATTTCCTTCTTAATCTAACCAAATTGCGAGGCAGAGGAAGAGAGCCTGCGTGGGGTACGGCACACTCCTGTCAAAGGGCTTAGTCACTGGGAGATGAAAGGCATCCAAATCCAACCTCTTCCTCAGAGCAGGACTACAAAGGCTCCTTACGAGCAGCTCACCCTCTAGCACCCTTCAGCTGCACTATGGCAATGGAGAATGGACATCACCGGAGGGAGTTGCAGCAGGTAGGGGCATCAGCTGGGCCTGATCTGACTGTCAGCAGAAGGAACCCACAGGACACCAGCCCTTACCCTCACAGGGCTGAAAACCAAGGACCCCTCACCATCCTGCTGGGGAATGGGCAGCATCACCCTCAGCTGAGCTCTGTCCATGTACCATCCTCCTCCTCACAGGGAGCCACTCAGGGGGCTGCCTTGATGCTCTCCCTCTCTGCTCTGAGGTGCTCTCTAAGGGAGCCTCGTGTCCCCACACCTCCCATCCCATATCCTGGGATGCTGGGGGAACGTGCCAATTTCCCAACCCTGAAACCAGTCGCCATGTGCTTTTTATAAGAACCTGCTGCCCTGTTCAATGACTCCCAGCAGGTTTTTTACTGGGCAAATGACCAGCTGAGCGGGGGCAATGCCTGGGTCTTGACTAAGCATCACTGGGCTATAAAGCCTAAAGTTCATATTAATCTTGACAGGGTGATGATATCGAGACACCGCAAGCAAACAAATAACTGAGCTTTTCAGTTTCAAACCCGATGAGCTGAGCTCTGACATTTTATGCTCCATTTGCTTTGGCAAGACTGGGAGGTGGATAATAGAGGGCAGAATTTGGCTTTGAAAATACAATAGTGACAGTGATGATCCATTTTATCCCATCTACATAATTCCCTACAGACAACATGAAATAGTGCACAGAAATATCCCTGTCTTAGAAAAGTGTTGTCAAGGCTGAAGTCAGGAATCTCATTTATCTGCTGTGAAATGCAGAAGGTGGAAAATGAGCAAACCAGTAAAAGAAAGGAGTATCTCTGGCTCCAGGTTATTGAAAACGATCCCAGACTATTAGATTGTTTCACAGGGACAGGTCACTCAAAGCTAAATATTTCCCACCTGGGACTGATACTGTGTTCTTTGGTGTCTTGCTGCTGGGTTTGTGCCGCGGGGGTTGTTTTAGGGATGTGCTGAGCTCCCAGACAAAACGCAGATCGAGCGACAGAGTGTGTTTGCCCAGAGACAGCACCAGGGAACACTGAGCGGGTGGGGAGTGCGAAAGGAAAGAAACAAAAAATAAAGCAGTAACAGATCCTAACGGATCCCAGTTATCTTAAATTGAACCGTCAATGTTAATGAATAATTCTGGTTTATCATCTCACACTTCCTCAGTTTATGAACTGAAGCTACCCCCCGATGCAAACACACACAAACGCACCCAAGAGCAGCAGTAAGAGAATACTTGTAACTAATCAGTGCATTATACAGACACCGCAGTATGGAGTGTTAATAAAAAAAAAAAAAAAAAAGAAGAGGCTATCGGGATCTTATTTCTTTCTTAAGCACAACTTGAACAGCACAAGATAAGAACACGTTGGGGCACACGATAGTATAAAAAAAGAGAACTGCCTCTATGTACCGAAAAATGAAAGCATTGGGGAAAAATACAGAGTGCTTTTATAATAAAGGACTTCATCAGAACACACACAGAGTTGGGCTGACTTGAGGCTATATTAGGAAAAAGAAGCATTTGAGCTTGACTTCACAACCTTGAGAATGTCCTTTCTAGTGTAATTTTGGTAGCGGATCATGTGAACGGTGTGTTCACATGTTTGTACACAAACACCATGTTAAGACATTTAAGACATGAGAAATATTTTATCGTTCTATTATTATTCAGAAACTGTACTCAGGAGATTATTTCAAGATCTATATTTGTATTAAAAGTCAACAAAGTATTACTAGACGGACATACTCAACTCCCTCATATTCATTCTTGTTTCAATTTAGAATAACAACAAGAAACATTAGGAAAATGCAGGATAAGCAATACGCTTCACAATTTAGAACTCTCCTGCAGTTCTGTAAGAAGTATTCATTTTTAGTAGCACTATACACACAAAGACAATGCTGGAAGAGGAATTTGCAGCAAAGCTGCATTTTCATAATTTCTCTTTTAAGCACAGGCAGTTTTTGAGCTAATCTTGAAAACTTCACCTCTCAAAGACACAAATAAGTACTTTTTAATATATTAAACAAAATGTTTCATTTTAATCCCTCCCAAAACACACACAAACAAATTCATTCTTCCTCAGGGCCAGATTCTGATACCTTCTCTGAATAACACGGAAAGTGATCTATCTAAAGTTCTCGCCGAGCAAGTTGCTTCCTTGTGTGAAGGTACAAGAAGATTATTCCTGAATCTGACCATCTCTTCTTCAAATTTTATTACTGTGGGGTCAAGCCTTACCATCGACGTTTAAAGAAATCCCATAGATTTAAAGGTTTAGCTGTAAAGAAAGACTAGTGTTTTTCAGTGGTGCCGAAGCCGGTTGCCGTGGGGGCTGGAGGCACCCGGTGTCCCCACAGTCACTCTAGAAGTCACCGTCTGTGTTGAGGTGCAGATCGGGGTGTCTCTGTTGTTGGCAACGTACAAATACAAAGTCTCAATGGTGATATCACCTCAAGAGCAATGGGAAAAGAGAACTGTCCCAAACCTGGGAGTTTCGGCACACTCCGTGGTATGCGGTGGCTGTGCATATTCCATATATAGAAGGAAATTGTGCACGATACTTCTGGTGTCCTAAAAGTAGATTTATCTTCAGCCTTTACTCTCCACCAAATACCCATCTGAAAAGCCTAATGCATTCCCTGTAAAAGGTAATTTCCCGATGGAAAGCTTCTAACTGAGCAGAGTTTAGAGCAGTTTCAGGGTTGTTTCCCATCTCTGTAAATCTGACCATAGGGGTCTCTTGAAAGAAAATTGCTAAGAATTTCCAACTGGACTGTGTAATCACAGCGCCTGGTATCAAGAGGAGGGGGAGTGACATGAAATCATTGACTTGTGACATACATTCCTCAGCAACAGCAGCTGCTGCCTAATGACAGCTAATAAAGGGAATCTTCCCTTGACAGAGCTGCATGCCTGCAGTGGACTGGAATGTGCCCCAGATAAATCCACCGATAACCTAGGAAGCAGAGATCACACCCAAAGAGTATAAAAGACAAGCTTTGGAAGACAGAGGATAGGACAAGGAAGAGAGAGACAAGGAAGAGACATCTAAGAAGAAACAGCTTGAACTCCTCTATTCCCAACGAAACCAGCCACCATGGACACTAAAGGCTCATTTTCCTGTGGCTTCCTCTTGCTGCTGCTCATCCAACTCCAGACCAGCAGAGCCAACCCTATCTACAACCTCAGCCCCGCCAAAGAACTGGCCAGCATGGAGGTGAGGACCCTTTTTTTTGCAAGGTTAAACTTTCGGGGTGCTTAGCAGAGTGTGAGGTGGTGGTTTTACCTTTCTTTTACATGATCGGGTAGCCACATCAACGATCGCGTGCCAGGGGACAAGGTCTTAGATCTTCACAGGGGTTCAAAGAAGCTCTACAGAGCAATATCCTCCTGTGCCGGGTTCACCTGAGCTCCCGGGTAGCAAAGGGGAAGAAAATTCTGATGTTGTGGGATGTCTGCTTTGGGTTTTCAGTCCTTTTTCTCTTAAACTTCCTGGGAGCAAAGTCCCAGAGAGGGAACAAATCATCACAGTAGCTCTATAAGAACAAATAGAAAACTTTCATGTGGGCTACTGTCGATCCCGCTAAATGGCAGGAACAGTGGAGCGGGGCAGCCACGGGGCTCTAGCTTTGTGGATTTAAGAGAACTGGCTGCATGTGGACAGGAGATGAGGATACCACGCGGAGCACCCAAAGTCAAACTTTTAGAAAAGTTGCTAGAGGAATAGTATGATCATTTAGTGTGCTCCTCCAGAAAAGCTTCTAGAGCTATGAAATTTCAACATGTGCATTTAATGAATGATAGAGAACATCCCCTGTCGTGGCACAATACAAGCTTAAGGCTCTGTCTTGCCCAACAAAGTCTGAAAGCTCAAACATTTCCTCGGACTG